CCCTTCCCGCCCCCCTTGATAATGAGCCCTCCCTTTTGAGCATATACAAGCCTAAGGGTTTTTAGGCATTTAACATGATTCAGTGTTGCGAGAAATATTGTGCAAGATGTGAGGTTTTTTTTTTAATATATGCTCATGTTCGAGTGTTTTGGGGTTTCTTTTTTGGACATGTAACAAACACACCAGGTAGTGGTAGCTTAAATTTATTGTTATTTAATCTTTATTCTTTGATGAACATTTTAAGTTCAAATTGCATGTTTAACTCTTTTAAAATTCAGGTCACGGTATTGGGCATAAAAATTCAAGGATGAACTCTTGCATCGATCTGTTCTTTACTTTGCAAACTATATATGTTTGCGTTGATCCCTTGTTTTCATATACATTATATTACAGTTATCCTGACTTCAAAGTCCGCTAGGCTGATTATATCAGCAACAAACTCTTCAAATCTACAGCTTATTTGAGGCTAAATGGAGAATGAACAGCTCAAGAACCGAGTTACAGCTGTCCGATAAAAGTACACTCGAATGGGTCCCTTGTCTTGTGTGCGAACTGTACTTAATCGAATTTTACCTTTGATACAACACATCTGTAAACTAAGAGATTATTAATGAAAATTGTTTGGTAGAGTTAACACGGTGTCCCCAATTGGTCCCCATGAGCTAACTACATTGACACTTCAATAAAGTTCTTACTTATGATCCTCTCTTGCAATGGCATAGCACCAGTCACTAAAAAGAGTCGTCCAATCGGACGCTTTAAAAGGGATTAATAATGGTAAAGAATAATGGCAAGAAAGCGAGAAGTCTATCGCGTCATCGCTTAAAAAGTTTAAAATTTACAACCTTGGTTAGGAAGACTAATGTAATATAACTACTTGTCGTACAATTTCGTTTGCACGAGCGCTATCAACAGCTTCACTATTTCATTGACTGCATTCATTTCTTATAACCTAGCAGGCTATAAACTCAAATATCTATTTTCGGGCAAATTAAAGAGCAATTAACGCCCTCCCTCCCAGAAAAATTATTTTCCTTTAATAGAATTTACCAGTTTTTTTTCCCAGTTACTTCAGGGAAAATCCTCGCGTGGGCCCAGTTCAGACATCGCACTTCTGCCGTGCTCAACTGAATTCAGCAATCAAGTTCGACAAAAGTATGGCAGAAGTACGGCGTCTGAATCAAACTTAGGAAGTTCGTTTGAAGTTAGAACTTCTGAGCTCGGTAAGCAATTAAGTTCGACAAGCTCTGTCGGGCTACACGAATCTGGCACGGCAGATAAAAATGCAAAATAAAAATACAAGAAATGAATGAAATTGTCCACAACAACGTCGTTTGGTTACTACTTATAGTATACAGTGAAGTGGAATACGGGAAAGGTCTATAGCAGTATTCAGCATACCTTTCTTAGATTTTAGCTCACACTGTATCGTGTTTAACAACTATAAGTACTCTACGTTCAGTCTCACAGCTAAAAAGACATAATCTCTGTTTAGCACCGTATAAAATGTTTTTAAATCGGAGCTATCTTCCATTTTAACCTTCCGATGCTTTGTTTTCCTTTTTCCTCCCGTAAAGCGGTAAGCAACTCTTAATTCGAATTGTCAGCATCGCATTCACGTCGCAGACTGAGCATTCTGGATTCTTGCTGGTGAAAGTAACCTAAACACAAATGGAAACAAGATTCTTCATCGAATCAAAACAAGAAATGGTATTGGCATATGACCGAAATCGTTACTTTAGAGCTGAGATCCAACGCTTGAGAGTGCGTTGAATCTGGCAGAACTTCGGCGGTACATTCAGCAGCATTCGGTTGCGATCAGCAGCGATCGCGTAGACTTTCGTGCGCACTCTCACTGGCGGCCTTTTTTCCGCCAATACTTATTAGAGGATCCAATGAATGCCAAAAAAATTATTCCTGATACAGTGTGTAATCATGAGTAATTGTCCTTCTGTGATATTTATTTATGTCTGGATTTGTAGAAACATACCCACAGAAATGCTAAATCGATCAGATCCCTTCTCAAAGTCACCGACTCACCGCGCGCATCTAAATTCAAACGTTGAACGTTCGAGTGTAGACTGGCGGGCTAAACTTAAACCCAGTAAAAGAAGGGGATGGGGTAGGGAGATATAAAACATACTAGCAATAATTAGACCGCATCACTTTATGCTAAGTGAGCTTTACAAGTTCCCGAACGGGGAGGGGAGAAGGGGGGGGGGGGGGGG